AGTCAGTCAGTCAGTCAGTCAGTCAGTCAGTCAGTCAGTCAGTCAGTCAGTCAGTTCTACAGAAATAGTTTTCTTACTTCGTGTTATGTTTCCGTAGTTTCCAGGAAGTGGGGATAAACAAAGGCGAAAAGTGAGAGACCTAGTTTTGTTTTTGTAGAAGTTTCACGGCGCTCGCAACTGTATAAGGTCATATGAGCGCCAGAAGATTAGAGGTGTTACAAGAGAGTAACAAACGTAAAAAAGAAGGAGGGGAGAAAAGGACGATAGACAGATGTTTGATAGGAAAGAAGAAGCAAACCACACCAGAGCACCCGCCAACCACCCACTGATAGATCTTATATTAATATTAGAAAGTAGATCCTGAAGTAAGAAATAATCCTTTTATTACAATTTCCAACATAATATCATTTCATGGTTTCTATCTCACCGAACTGAAGCCAAAAGCCACACAGCCATACAGTTTTACAGGACAACTCATACAAATTTTACCTAAGGCATGTAATTTTGCGTGCTGTAAACCCTTCAAACTTGATCGTTTTACTTGACAAATCATGCACATTTCACATAAAGCACGTTGTTTTGTATACTGTCGACCCTTGAAACTCGATCGATTCACAAATTGACATGACAAGAATCATAAAAATTTCACATAAAGCACGTTGTTTGTCTTCATCAAATCATACAATTTTCTCATAAAGCATGTTGTTTTGCGTACAGTAAACCCTCCATGCCAGAGAGCTCTTGCTTTGTCAACATCAAATCATTAAATTTTCACATAAAGATTGTAGTTTTGATTACTGTAAAACCTTCAAACTCGATCGTTTTACTTGACAAATCATAAACAAAATTTCCCATAAAGCACTTTGTTTTGCGTACTGCAAACCCCTCCCACTAGATAACCCTTTGTGTTTCTACATCAGAACTTTCTGGAAGGCAGAGGCGAGCATCCGGTCGGTCCGTCTCAGAACCGGAAGACAGAGAAGACGGAGAGGAAGACCCCACACACCAGGCAGGCCACGGATGACGTCACCGCAGAAACACCCCCGAAAGGATCTGGAG